AATAAGTTGTACTTATGCATAATTTACTTTTAATCTTAAATTTTAAGTAATATGCATCAATAAACAATACTTCATGCATAAAAAATTGTTTTTAAGAGTTTTTGTCAAATGTTTTATAAATATAGTATAGATAATATAGATTATGTGTTTTCAAATTTTTATGATATCTTCAAATTTACATTTTATTCAAAAATAAAATCATTATTGTTTTCTTAAAAACACATAAAATCTTATTATAACATCGACAGAGACAAATAATAAAATAGAACATTAAAATCGAGATGTATCTCTCTGCATTGCGCGAGTACCCTTCTAGTACTTAATTAGGAGTTAGGAAGGCTTACGGGTTGAATTTGTGTGTCATCACTCATCACTAATGGGGTATGATAAAGGCACGAGTAGATGGATATATTCTTGGGTTTCTGGCTCTCCATTACGAGTCTTTTCATTTCAATCCGAGTCTTTGTTGGGTTTCTGTGGTGATTCTTCTGCTTCTTTATAATGTTGTATACCGAGAATGAATCAAGAACAATGGAGTTCCCCATGAGAATTGTCGTGGAATCAAGAACGAAAATAACCCACGATCTTGTCGATGAAAGCCTTATTATAGGGACCATCGACCATTTTTTGCAAAAAAAAAAAAAAGGTTCTTCGATCTTTGCTCCAGTTATTCCATCCCCATTAACATTCACCTGCAACTTCGATTTAAAACAGGGACCATCGACCTTTCACCTTTCCTGTCTTCTGTTTCATTTCCATACATATTCTAAAACCACTGGAGTTTACTCTCTTTCTCTCTCTCTCTCTCTCTCTCTCTCTCACTGACACACACACACACACATATATATATATATATAGATGAGCGATCAAATAAAAACCACTCTTATTTGTACAAACCGTACAAACCACCCTCATACGTCAATTTCATTGTTTAATCTTATGAAATTTTTTCATGAAATTATTTAATCTTGTGAAATTGTTTCATATAATACTTTTTTTTGATGAATTTGTTTCATATAATATTTAATGAAACTGTTTCATATATTTTTCTAAAATTAAAATAATGAAGATGATAATATCCATGATTAACACCATTCACAATAAAAATGGTTAATCAACCTCTCATAATTACAAAAAAAAAATGAACAAAATGAAAAATTATGATTGGTTGAATGAGTTTTTCACGATTTGTACAAATTGAATGGTTTTTATTTGAACGCTCATTTATATATATATATATATAGGGTATATTTCAAATGCAACCTACTCCATTCTTACAACCAATACAACCCATTTCCAACCAATCAATGAATTTCTTTTTTTTTAATTATTA